CGCTGCAGCTGTGACTCCACCATCATCTGCCACACATGGGCTTTGAGTTATGCGCCTCCTGTCCTAATGAGAGAAACAGCATAACTCTCATGGGGCTCTGTTCATCCCCTTATATGTGGAACCTCAGGGCTGAATGCACAGCCCTATCAAGGCACCCTGGTGCCTGTCAGCCTACGGAGGAAGGCAAGGAAGGCAAACAGGAGCCCCAGAGAGTTCTTGGGCCATTCGCTTGTTGAAATGAGGTGGAATCAAAGAAGACCTCAAAGTGAGGCCTGTTTCCCTTCTTGTGCCTAAAGAAGCAAAGAGCAGCATGGATACGTGGGCAGGGGCCTTGTTATGTCCCGTGGGCTTGGAGTCCAGACTCATCTAAGCCAGCTAACTCTTAATAATTACCAACTGACTTTTGTACAAGGCTTCATGCTTATAAAGAGTTTCTTGAATATAAGCTACTCCCCACGACAGTCCTTCCGATGTAGGTGTTATTAACACCTTTATCTTACAGGTGAGGAAACAGTCTCAGAAAAGTGATATTTCTCAAGGTGACAGGGAATGGTGGTGTGAGGACTCACGTTCTTCCTCTCCAGAGTGGTGGAGCGCAGCGGGGCGACACAGGTGGGGAGTGCTGTCCTGAGTCGCCGCTAGTCCCCGGTCGGGCAACAACTGCCCGGGGGTGTGGAGTGCGTTGCGGGGAGCGCGTCACTCCGGGATCTGAGGGTTACCGTCCGGGGCCAGCTGAGATGGGGCCAGCTGAGATGGGAGCGGGGCTCTGAATCCCGCAGAGCCCGCCCCAGGGGTGTCACAGTTGGGGGGAATAAACACGAGTCAGAGTCATCGCAGACACTTCTCTGTTTGCCAGGAGGGGGACAGGGGCACTTCCTTCTTCCTCGAGAAGCCTCCCAGCCCCCTTTCCAAAGGCTTTTATTGAAAAGGTTATCAGTGGCTCTAGGTAACAGGAATGCACAGGTTATCTCATTACATCAGTATGTTAATGTTCACAGAGAATGGGTGATGTGTTGAAGAAAACAAATGGCAGGAACACACTGATTTACATGGGTCTGAGAGGAGACTAGTAAACAAGAGAGACGACCATAGTAAACATGAGTGCCTAAGGGTATAGGGTTAGGATCTGTGAATAATGTAAATTTCCTTCTTAGCATGAGCTGTCTGTAGCTTCTGAGGGAAGAACAAAGCACACTTTAAAGAATTTACTTTTAGGCCTGATTTCCCTGGGAGCCGCCAGATCAGGTTTAGGACTGACTCCAGTATTGTTTCGAGCCTGAGCCAGGCGGGGGGAGGGAGCCGCCAAGAGACAAGGAGACTTCTTTTGGATAGAATGAGGACTCCGGCCATGTCCAAGCTGAGCTGAGGGGTGCGGGCCTTTTTGCCCTTTCTTTGTGTCCCCCAATTTTTTGTCTGTGCCAATACTGGCTGATATCTGTCTTAGGTTGCTATCTCTGCATGAGATAACTTACCCGTCATGGATCACCAACCATCACAGGGCCAAGCAGAGAGGCAGGAGCTCCACCCCTGCCGGGGCGGGGGCAGGTTATGTCTCCTCAGGGGCCTGTTTTTCCAAGGTGTCCCTGATTATTTCCAGCCTTGGGGCCCTCCAGCCTGTCCGCAGGGTTACAGTTCCTGAAACCAGACAGGGCATTTCCCCACACTGCGGAGCTTTTCTAATCCATCTGGGAAAGTGAGAGAATGAAATAAAAACTGTCCCCTCTTTTCAAACTACTTACTTAAATGAACTCTTCCAGGAGGGTGGGCTTGCAGCTACAGGCTGAGCAGCCCACAGCTGCCTTGGTGCTGCTCACGAAAAAGTGCAGTGGCCACTTTCTCAAGGAGGGCATAGGACCTGGAAAAATGTCAATTTTGACTTCATGTCACTTAACCCTCTTGATAGTACTGATGTGGACCAGTTCCTTCTCAGTCACTTGTGTTTGTTCAGGTTGGAAATACCATAAAGCAGCCTGTGGGTCAAGAAGGAACCTAAGGTATAGAGACTGTCCCATTGGGGTGGGTCTGGGCTCAATTCAGAGCCCACCTTCTGGGGTCTCTTTTGGATGGTTTTGATGTGTGTAGATGGTTCTCCTAGAGTCAGGACCCATAGGGACAATGGTCATTCACTTCCTACATTGCTCAGTTTGGTTCCTCTTTGGCTGGTTTTATTTGCTAAGTATTTCTTGAAGTAGCTGCTGGGCACTTTGCAAAGCATTGGGGATACACATGCACATGATTCCTGCCATCATCCTAGATCTTACAAAACCAGTAGGGGAGACATTCTAGTAAGTAGGCAGTAACGACAACACCTTTGGGGAAACACAGGGAATCTTGGGGTTTAATAGAGGAGTCCATTAAACCATTTTTGATACATCAAGAACATCTAGGCAGTAACTAGATGATGGTGAGCCATCTAGAGGTTCTCGTTCTGAGATTGGAATGATTTATAACGTTCTTCAAAGAGTAATTGTCCGGTTCCCCCAGCTACCTACATTTGGATTGGGTAGGTCTGGCATGAATTTTGGGTGTTGGTGTTTTGTTTTGTTCTTTAATATATAATCTTTATTACATGTTTTTCCATTACAATTTAGTCCCTTTTTACCCCACTCCCCCCAGCTGTTGATGTTATTAACGAGTTCTTTAGGTGATTTTTGGTTTTAGCCTGGATATGATTTCACTTATATGTAGAGTCTAATGAACAAACTGAACTGACAAGCAGAATAGAGACAGACTTAGAGAGCATGATGACAGATATTGGGGGGCATTGGTTAGAAGGTGGAGGGACCTAGCTAAAAGGAAGAAGGACTCATGGACAATAGTGTGGTGATTGCAGGGGGGAGGGAGATATAAAGGGGTTAAATGGTAACAGAAAAAATACAATTAAAAACAAAGGACCCCTGACTCAAGATGGGTAGGGATTGGTGAGACAAGTCCTGGGATGTGGAGTAGCAGGGAGCCCTGTACTTGGTCTTCACTGGGATTCACCAGCTGAAGCGGTGACCAAAACTTCTAGAAGGGACCCAGAATTAGTACACCCATTTAGGAATTACAGGGTAAGAGGCGATACAGTCCTGGACCAAATCTACCAGAAACATCGGACTATTTCCCCGTGATGCCTTCCTTCAGAGAGGTCAAAACTGGACCTCCATGGGCGGGAGAGCAATCTTCTGCTATTTGATTAGCTGGTCTTATGCTCTTTGACTAAATCAGCCCAAGTCTGGTTCCTAGACACCAGGGAGCTCAGAGCTTCAGGATTCTCCTCCTGTGCAGAAGCCTGTGAAGTTATCAACAAAATCAAGTATTAAGTATTAGAATGACTCTTGTACATGTCAAGCCATTAGCTCATAACACCAGAGACTTCTCTGGAGCCTCTAGGCTCCATCACTTTTATTGGATGATGGTTTCTAAGAATCAAAAGGGGAGGGTTAGAGGCTTTCACCTTTTTCACAGCCTTGCACCCTGTGGGAGCAGCTTTGTGATTAAAAAAACTTAACTCATAAAGAGAATTTGAAATTTTTGTTGCTTTAGTGCTTGGAATAGTTACTTGCCTCTGATTTGGACCCAAACCAATAAAAGGGTAGTGATGAAAATGAAAAAGAAATGGATGGGTAAATAGCAATGAAACTTTTGTTGATTTTTTTTTTTTTTAAAGGCAAAAAATGAAGCCAGTGTCCCTCTTATCTTCTAAGGCTCCGAAATGGTAGACACATGGGAAGGTAGTCCTGATGTATTCCAGCTCCGTGGTTGTAGGTTTAGGAACTGACCCTGTCACGTGAGGCTCTCTGCATCTAACAGTTGTCACTTGCCATACCTGCCTACGGAAGACCGAGTTGTGACCCCAGGTAGAGTAAAATTGGAACATACTCATTCATTTAATTCATTCAGCAAATGTTTAGTTTGATGACTCCATGAGGCAGGTACAGTCCTGGTTCTGGGGATTCTGAAAGGAACAAAACAAAGTCCCTTTCCTCACCAGCCTTTTCCCTCCAGCAGGGGGGATTAGATGAGTTGGCTTGCTGGTTTATTTTGAGGTGCATCAGGTAACCTTTTTAGTCTGGAAGTCATCTAACCAGTCTTACACCCTTCTCCCTCTCCCCTGAGCCTCTGTCCTCTGCCCTTTTCTCTGGGACTAGACCATGATCTAGTGAGGAGAGTCCACATTCCTCCAAGGCCTCTGGCTGCCACACTGTGTGTCACAGGAGCCACAGAAGTTTTGCAGGAAGGCTCCTCATGGGTTACTTGGCATGACAGATAATGCTGGAGTGGAATGTTGGTGCCAAAGGCCAGATCTAGATAGAGACTGTTGTTGGGAGACAGTGTGGTGCGTAAGCCCAGCCACAGGACTCCTTCCAGTTTCTTTCTATAAACCTCAGGCAGGTGGGCAGGGCAATACAGGTATGCTGGCTCTGCGGGCATGGCGCCTGGTCAGCGGAGCTGTCTTATATTGGAGGTTGCACGGGGCTCCCTTTAGCTTCAGTGAACTGCCTGCCAGTAGCTGACTGCATGGAGGAAGCCAGTAGGTAGGAGGCCTGGCTCCTTGATCCTGTTTCCTTGTAATATTTTCTAATCTTGGCTGCCCATAGATGGAGGCAGACTGACTTACGCTGTTCCACCTCGAAGGGAACCTGCTTGACCTGGACAGAGGGCTAGTTGATGGGCAGTCGCTGGAGATCCACTGCTTTGGATCTTGTGCTCCGCAGGGCCCTCTGATCTTCTCCCCAGGCCAGGAAAATAGAACTGGTTTTGGTAACAGTGGTGGCTTTTTTTGGCATGGGCTTAATGAGACAGCATGATGGAGCAGGCAGAGCAAGGGTCTTGGGGTCAAATGACTTAGATTCTGCCTCAGCTCTGCCATCTACCAGCTGCAACCTTGACAAATCATTTTACCTCCTGGGCTTCAGTTTCCTTTCTTTGTGGAGGAGGGCGTTACTCAAGGTGGTGTCCTAGGCCCCTTCCAGCCTGGAGCCTTTAACCTTTACACACACTGTCTCTGTCCACAGGCCTTGCTCCAGGCCAGCTGTACACATACCCTGCCCGCTGCTGGCGTAAGAAGAGACGATTGCACCCGCCTGAGGATCCAAAGCTGCGGCTGCTGGAAATAAAGCCTGGTCAGTACTGTCTGGAGCTTGGCTAGGCCTGTTACGGGAGAGGTGGAGAGTGCTGGGCTAGCCCAGGACAAGTGGTTTTGCTCTTTTGTCTGAAGTGTGGAGTTTCCCGGGAGAGTGACCGTGCCCACATGGTGTTCAGAGGTGTGCCTGCTCTCATATATAAACGTGTATATGTGTCCATCGCGCTCCCCTGCCCTCTGGGCCTCTTCCACTTCCCCCTTCCTTTTGTCTCCCTCTTGCCACTGCAGGCACAGAGCGGGCGCAGGCCTAGGATGAATTATTTTCCCAACAGATCAGAAGGAGCTGTAGATATTTGAGCCAGGTAATACCTTCCTGTGGCTTCAGGTAAAGAAACCTTGTCCCAGGTTGTGTGTTTGTAAGGAGAGTGTGTTGTGTACCCTCTCCCACCCTTACTGTGAATGAACTTTTGGAACATCTTACATGAAAGGGTCATTCGCTAAAAATAGAACCATCTTGGACATAGCAATGGAAGTTGGAGGTAAAAGCTTACCCATAGTTGCTGCTGGGTCCTTTGTGGCCATGCAGAAGGAATTGGTTGTTTTTCTTGACTACTGATCTTTTATTACACTTCTGACCAGGTGGTCATCTTCAGACCTGCGTCTGAGTTACAGCAAGGCCACATGATTGCTCCTGGTCTTTAGCTTTACAGGGACCTCTGGCGTTGGGGGTGCTGGGGCTAGAATGTGACTCAGGGTGGTGAGAACTGTGCTGTCACGTAGAGCACATGCAGAACTGACCTGTTTCCTCCCACTGTCACGAAAGCAATGCAGACCCAGCCTCACCCCTGCCTTTTCACACTGACTGTTTAGGCTGTTTCCTCTGCACAATTTCTACTTAAAGTTGTTTTCAAATGTTTTTACTCCCAGTTCCATGGTTAAGCCTGCTTTCAGCCTAGCTATCACTTGTGTACAAGTTTTATTTGTTAGGTGTGGGAGGGTGCTATATTCTTTAATGTACTTCATCCAAGCTCTCAAATGGACCATCACAATTTACAGACCCTTGCAAACACTCAAGGGTGATGACTGAAGTGATTCTGACGTCCCCTCTCCACCCAGGCCTCATGCTGCAGGTTGTAGGAGAGCCACGTGTCCTGGAATGGCACAGTCCAATAGAAATATAATGCAAGCCGCGTGTGCCATTTTATATTTTCTAGTAGCCACATTAAAAAAAAGGAGAACTAAAAAAGAAACAGGTCCAGTTAATTTTCATAATGGATTCTGTTTAACCCAGAATATCAAAAATAAGATAATTTCAGCACATAATCAATATAAAAATTATAAATGAAATATTTTCCTTTTTTTGTATTGTTTTTGAATTCCTCTTTATATTTTCTACTTTCTATAACTTTTACTGTGGGGCTAGCCACCATGCCACAGAGGGGTAGTGGTGCCCGTTTTGGTGAGTGTGGCTCTAGAACTGCACTTAAAATATGATTTTCACCAGCATAGGCATTGCCGTGGTAGATGTAGAATCTTGGGCCTCACCCCACACCTGCTGAGTCAGAATCTACATTTTATCAAATCCCCAGAATGCACATTGAAGCTTGAGAAACAACTGGTCTAGAAGACTGATAGGCAGCCAATCACAAGTCAGCATGGAATGACTCGATGTCATCTACATTTCTTTTGAAAAGTTTTATTTATTTACTTTTAGAAAGGAGGAGAGAGGGAGAATGAGAGGGAGAGACACATCAGTGTGCGAGAGATACATTGATTGGTTGCCTGTAACCAGGGACCTAACTTGCATCTGCCCTGACTGGGAATTGAACTGGCAACCTCTCAGTTTGCAGACTGGTGCTCAGTCCACTGAGCCACACCAGCCAGAGCATCATTTATATTTCTTTACTAAGCATAAACATTTGGCAATATGAACAGTTTATTTTGGAGGTGGAGCCTCTTTCCTTCCTTGTTTTGGACCCATTGTTCCTGGTGTCTTGGAAGTGGTGAGGGTGGCTGATTAGGTAATCTCTGCTTTGATCCCTACCTGGACCTGTTGAATTCCACCCCTTTCAGAGCTTTGCAGTAGGTGCTCTAGTGAGAAGGTGAGCAGTCATGTTAGGCTGGCTGTGTCAGCTGTTTGGGGAGGGCATTATTCAGGTGTCTATCACTAGCTGGATGTGTCTACATGTTGTTGTATTGTGGGCCCTCTGGGTATGTTTCCCCATCTGTCAGTAGACACAGTGGTACTTGGGATTCCTATCTGGCCTTGCAGGTTCATCAGGAGGATTAAATGAGCCATATGTAATAGTGTTTGTCTTTCAAACCCTTTTAATTAAAAATTTTAAAAATTTTGAGTTGGTTACATAGTAACAGTTTTGACATTCCAGAATATCAAATAGTAGAAAGTAAGACCCACTCTCCAAAGAGGCCGTCCTCGATACCAGATTTTTGTGATTTTCCAAGATAGTCTGTGCGCTCACCAGGAGTCATCACATCTCTATGCCCTGCCCTCGCTCTTCTTACCCAGCACGGCCGCCATGTGTTTTTCCTCTTCCACTGAAAAATGTGCCTCAGGCATTGGCCATATCCATATATAAAGAGCTTCCTCATTCCTTTTTTTTTTTTTACAATTACACAATATTCCATTATATGAATGTACTACAACTTATTTAACCATGCTCTTTACAATTTTGGTTTCTAATTTTTCCAATTTAACCAGTGATGCAGTGAATATTTTGCATGTGTAGGAGGATATCTCACATGTAATTTGTTAATAAAATGGCATTTTTTATAAATACTTGCCACTAGTTTTAACTTACTAGTCTTTATTTTTTGTCTTTGTTCTTAACATTTATATAAAAAGCCTTTATTAAGACCATTATATCAGACTAATTGGATCTGATATGTACATACTGGGTACATGTTTTTTATAGAATCAGTGACATTTAGTGCTGTAAAATACCTGAGATTTCATTAACTCCAAGTCTTTATTTTAATGAGGTCCAGACCGGTTAGGAGACTAGCTCAAATTCACACAGCACTTCCTGTGCGGACAGCAGAGAATCCAGGTTGCTTGATATCTCTATGCAGTGCTTTTTCGGCTTTCTCATGCTGCTGAAAGGAATACTAAAAGAAACTTTAACAAGGCTTTTTCTCCCGAAAACTTTGTTTATAAAACAAATATATATTAATTATTAAAATGCACCTGAGAGATGGTTGGAATTCCTTCAGTCATAAATGTCAGATACTCAGATCAAACCAGCCTACCGAAAAAATAGAAGTTGGTTTGAGTAACAGTAAATCCCGGCGTTGACTAGTTTCAGTCATAGCGGAATCCAGGGGCTCAGGCATTGTGGTGAGGGCTCTGTGTGGCTCTTTATTTCCACCTTTAAACTCTTCTTTTCATGGGGCAGGCAAGGTAGCCACCAGCAGCCCCAGACTCAGCACTTGTCACCCCAGCAGAAAGGCAAGTCTGCTTCGGTGGCTGTGCTGGAGAGGTCCCTGGATGGACTGATTAGCTGGCTGGGTTTATGTCCATCCCGCCAATCACTGCCCCCCAGGGGATGGGGCAACCTGATTGAACCATCATCATTATCACCAGTGTCTAAACAGCACACTCATTTACAAAGCCCTTTACAAAGCATTTTCATTTATATCACTTCATTGGTCCTTACCGCCTGGGAGGCAGAGAGGGAAAGAAGGGGTAAGAGTGGTGTATAAGCCCATTTTATAGGCCTGGGAAATCAGTCTGCGGATAAAGTTAAGGAGAGTTCACTGCGCTGCTCACTTATCTGAGATCTGGCAGTCTCACTGAGTTCTCCTTAGTGGGACTGAGGCAAGAAGCTCCTTAACAGTGTCTTGTCCTTCCACCTGTAGCCATTTACATTGGACACCCTGGACTCCCAGTGGCTGAATAGGGAGCAGCTGGGGTTACAGCTGGCTTTGGACTGTAGGCCCACCTACGGCAAGTGCCGGGAGGGAAAAGGAAGAACCCTCGGGCTGGTGGTTTGCTGTAGCCGCGTGTCCACCAGCGCATGGTGTTGACACGAAGGTTTTCCTTGGCTTCCACCCTCATGCTTGCGCAGAGGCCCAGGTGGCGGTTCCAGATCTCGGGTGGTAGAAGGCCAGCCCCTGAGGTGGCCAGAGTCCTGTGGGTAGGAGGCCCCTCTCGGAAAGATAGCGCCAGCCTCCATGAGGACAGGCCCTCAGGTGCAGCCATATTCCAAGGTGCGTAAAGGACCCAGCTGAGCAGGGCTCACCCGAGGCGGGCTCACCCTGCAGGCCAGTGCTCAGGCTCTGCGGAACAACAGGGAACCCAGAGTGGAGTAAACTTTTCAAATGATGGAGCTTCTCAGGTGAACTTGTTCTCCTTTCTTTAGGTAATCAGGTCTACTACTAAAAACAAAACCCCCAAAACCTTGGGCCAAATGTTTGTCATTTCTGTGTCCTGTGCTGAGTGTACTAACAGGCCGGGCCTGGCCCTCGGCATGTACCACCAGGCCAGTCTGGTACCACCAGGCCAGTCTGCGACTGCAGGTTGTGAATCAAGATGCCAGGGGAGTGTCTGGGAGAGAACGATAGGGAGCCTAACGAAGCCTCGGGCCTCAGAGCATCAGGGCCCATCTAGAGAATGGGAAGCAGCACAAAGAAATGTATCTCTCTTCCTGGAGGAGACAGGACTGCATTTGGAGTTTTCACACAAGCCAACATTTCAGAAAAGGACCTTCATCCAGGGCCTCAGCTGGCCCATGTGGTACCTTGGAAGAAGGTGCCCCCGTAGGTGGACATTTACAAATTGATGCCCCTGTGGTGGGGTCGTACAGCACAGGTTGGATCTCAGCCCCTGTCAGCGTCTCTGCCCCCATCATTTACAAAACGCAGGCTCCAGCCAAGGGGTTCTTTTCGCTTTTTTGGAGTATGTCCTTCTCAATCACAGGGTCGACGGGGACAGTATTTTTAAATGACTCTCTTGTTTTTATTTTATTTGATTTCGGTTCAAAGAGGACTCGGTTTTCTGGTTGCTACTTTCAGTGTGACTCA